TCCCCGCTGAGCACATCAAGGCCTGCTCCAGAAAGTTGTTCAGGGCCATGAAGAGGCGTAGTGAAAGTCGGCGCCAGCGGCCGACGGGAGTTTTCCCCTCGGGGTCGTCCACTCGTGTCCTCTTGGGAGCTGGCGCCTGCATGGCTAGGCGCAAAAGATCCTGGAAGGCAAGGGTCACGAGGTACTCCACACGAGCGGCTAGGGCCAATCTCTTCACAGACCTGATTCACTTCAACATCAGCGGTTCCTGGCTTCGACAGTCGGGACATGAACACCTGCAGGTCCTTAAGCATGCCGGAATTAAACTCAGAAAGTGGTACTCGAAGGGCTCCGGTAGGACCAATGTGCAAGGGGACCTTGTGCTTGAACCTACCGAGGTACATGTGGAGGCCTTGGCCGGGGTCCAAGCTGAGTGTTGCCTTGCAGTACAGGAGAAAAGGAAGCGAAAGAAGGAAAGGTGCTGCTTGACTAACACCGTCTTCAAACACAGCTGGCCGCAAAATGCATCCCTTGGGACCCAAGCTTGTAGGAACACAGGCCACTCGACTGGTTTGGGTGATGCCGTTCACTGACTTGAAGCAATGCTGCTCAGCCTTGTAAGCAATCTTAACCCCGTTGGGCTGCCCTTCTAGGTACTTATCGAGGGTGTTCCTTCCGACTGCAGTCCGTTGGCAACCCGTATCAACTGTGGCACAATGTTCTTCGGGGATGGTAGTAGATAAAGTAGAGTACCATAGTTCATGAGCACGATCCATGTATCCTGCCCGCTGCTGCGACTGAAGGTCGGGACTCGGATCGGCAGCGGCACGACTTGAAGTGATGCCGTTGCTCTCTTCCACAAAATTCAGGTACTCCAGGTGCTCGACAAAGAAAGCCTCGTCGTTCCCCGCCGGCTCCAGGTAGTGATTCTCCTTGGGGCCGGCAGTGCCTTTTCGAGGGCATTCCCGATGCCAATGCCCGATCTCCTTGCAGATTCCGCATCTTGTGCGCCGCTTTAAGGCTTCTATGCTGACCTTGTAGGTCTGGGGACCACTGCCGCGGGATGGAGGAAATCGCTCTCCTCCAGCTTCTCGCCTAGTGCCGAATCCGCGCGCCAGCTGGCGCTGCTTCTTCGCCTGGTTGACGGAAGCAAAGGTCCGCCGGCCACCGTTGCCGCGAACCTGGTCCTTGACCATTGCCGCGAGGATCTCCTTCGCCTCGTCCTCGTCGAAGACCTCATTGGCATGGCCGCCGTCCTCGGTGGCGTCCTGGTCCAGCTCACCAAGTGCCCCAAGCAAAACCTCGAGCTCGCCGGAGTTCGTGTCGTCTCCGGGCCCTTCGTCCTCATAGTCATCCTCCGCAATGCCCTCCATGAGCATCGCCGCGTGGGGCTTGGTGGTAGTCTTGCCCTGGGCCTTCCAGTCCAGGTCCGCTTCGTGGACCCGGACCCATTCCTTCACCGCTTTGGCCGTGAGCTTCCCCTGCGTGTAGTTCAGCAGGAGCTTGACTTCATCGCTTGTCAGCTGCAAGGACATTACGAGGAGAAACCCGAGGTACTCAGGAGGGAGGGTCACGCTGTGCTCTCCAAGGCGCCGGACCTGGTTATCCCAGCGCGAGAAAAACAGCTTATGAGTCTCCCCTTTTGCCCGTCGAAGGGTGTAGGTGATCTTCACCAGGGTGTTCAACATGTCCTCCCTGGCATCCTCCCCGTAGAGCTCCTTTGTGTCCATCTGGGACAGGAGCAGCTCTCCGTTCTTCTCATTCTGCATCCAAGCGTCATCCTTGGCCAAGTGCTTCAAGTCGTCGAACGGAGTTCCTGTCAGACTTTTCAGCAACATAGGACCTCTGGCCCTGGGCCGGACCTTAGTCGTAGCCAGCCAAAGTTTCGCTCGGATGTGGTAGTCCCGGAAGCTGCTTTGCCCATCCCATGCTGGAGGTGGACCTGAGCTCGCGCCCTTGCCGTTGTCATCATCGTCTCTGTCGTCGTGGTCTTCAGAACCGCGCCTTGCCCTCCATGAACGAGAAGGAGCGCGGCTATGCATAAAGTCACGGAAGCGCTGGAATTCTTCAGGATCAGGCCGGGGAGCTCTTGCACCGCTAATGACCTGGGCCCAAGGATCCATAGGCTCTTCCTCGTCGTCGTCGTCTCCATCCTGCACATGTGCAGGATTGCGGTCTCCGTCTAGAGAACCATGGTCGGGAACCGGAGAACTCGCAGCTGGATCGGCACTTGCCATCACACAGGCTCGGAACTATTGCTCAGCCTCAGAACCCTATCTCGAGGCCCTTGGAGCAACCGAGCTCCGCTACCACTGTCGCTCTAAGCGACACTGGTCCCTATGCAAAACAGCATGCCTTTTCCTCGGCCGCACTTGAGCCATCGTGATTCGCCGGATCCTGTCAGCTGGTTGTTTCGGAAGGGCTAAAGCAGAAAAGACACTAGACCCAAAACTCCCAAAACCCAAAACCGTGGAGGTTCAGAAATGCTCGGGGAGCAAGGAGCACGTACAGGTAGTCCTACACACCTACACACGAATGTAGGGGCTCAATAATTAGAATAG